TTCCAACAACATCGAGAACCAAACGTGCACCACCTCACCATGACCACATGTACAACTAGCAATAGAACAATCGCTGTCTACACCACCACCACCACAGATCTGATGAAACAACCACTCACCACATCTAATCAAACAACTGCCTACACCACATCAAACAACAGATATGATCAGACAACCACCTACTAAATCAATTTCAAATATTTTTCTTTCACTATTACATGAATTTCTCAACCCAAACTTAAATTCTCAGCTCTAAGTTCAATAAGACAGGTAGAGATGAAGATGATGGTTGAGCGAGAACAGCTTATCCTTCAGCGTCGTCAACTAGAAACCCCTCAACAAAAATGCGGAGCCAAACATTTTCTTGCAAGCAACGCCCTCGACGACGCTACGAGCAGCTACGACGACAAAGCAAGGCACCGTTGCTCGTAGTAGAAGTGATGCTTTGTTGTGCCACTGTCCCACTCGTTGTCGTCATGTGTGGTGTTGGCGCAGCACCATTGTCGAGGCGCTGCTTACGTTGTGGCGGTGGCTGCGACGACTACTTGGCTTCGATGTAAAATTGGTTGAGATTTTTTATCAATTTTTAATATTTTGACACGTTTAAGTACGCAAATTATTACAAAAATCACGTTTAAATTTTCATAAAAAATGAACTTAACCTATATATGTTACGTGTTGATATATTTATACAAATAAAAAAAAATTATTTATTTCTAGGTTCTTAAAATTTTAAATTAAATAGTTATTTAATAGAGTCCATTATTTGTTGGTTTGAAGGTCAATTTTGAATGCAAACAGTTACGTGGAATGGGACTTAAAATGTGTGTGCAAATTTTTTTTTTAATGCATAAAAAAATTAATATACAAAGAGTATAAAGTACATCTAGGTAGATTTGTTAATATTCTTTCTATTATATCACCGTCACAAAGGTAAAACAAATTGGGGATGTGGTGCCTATTTTAACTTTTAAGATAAATGTGGAAGAATTATATAGCCCATGTTTGATACCCTATTATTTCATTAAAATGAGTTTTGTAATTTAATACTTTAATTTTAAAATGACTTGTCTTAAAAATTTGTGAGATTGGATAAGGGAAGAAAAGAAATTTGTTACCAAATAAACCTTCAACGGGAAATGATGTTTATCGATTAATTTCATAGGCTTTGATCGATGATTGAAATGTGAAATAATACCATAATTGTTTGCCTCGACTCAAAAAAAATTGGGCCGTTTGATGCAACACTATAATTAATGTTGCTCATGGCTCGCTCACTACTCTTGGATGGGCCATTAAGTGCATTAACGCACTCTACTTTTCTTGACCCATTTAATTGATAACGTAGTTGTATAAAGGAGGCCACTTTGTTCTTGTTGAAGCAGTGGATTTATTGTGTAATTGAGAGCATAGTTATTAGACTCGACTCGAACAAAGTATTGGGTCTTGGATTACTGGTTGAACCAGTTGGTTATTGCATAAAAACCTACAAAAAAATTTTTAATTTATTTTCACTAATTATTTAGGTCTATAAAATAAAGTAAAACGTTTGACCAAAGTTTTTTAAAAGAATATTTTTACAAAACCTATAAATGATTCATAAGATAGATATAAACTATTGCACAAAAATAATATTAAATTGCTTCATGTTCAAATGGTGAGAACCCATTATTTTTCCTAGAGGTTCAAGGTTCAATTTTGCAAGAGGATTTCAACATTCAATCAAATCGATCAACTGGGTCGGTTAAATCACGGGTTAACTATGTCAAAGCCTGATTTTGACCAAGTTAAGTACATTTCTATCAAATTAATCTGCAGTCCGATCAGGGGTTCGGGCTGCCGATTTTCCGATCCAACCGGCCGAATCGGGCCAGGTTTTACAACTATGATTGAGAGAATAACAGGGGGAGATTTTCCAAAATAGCCGGGTCAAATGGCCCATTTGAGTTTTTTGTAAAAAAGTCAATTTTACTCTTAATGAAATGATTTTTTATTACAAATCATGTCCTCAAACTTTATGATTTTTTAGAAATTAGTTTTATTCT